ACTTGAAAATTGACTGACACTACGTGACAGACGCGTTTCTTTGTGCATATCTCAGTACATTACGTCCTGTTGCACTTGAACGTTGCTTGCACAACTTTCTATCAACCAATAGTTGACTAATTTGAATATTGTAACGAAAATGCACGTTGTACAGATGGAAAGGTTTTAGCAGGGTACACAATACATGTAGATCATATTTATACAAATGCACTTGTTACTGCCATTATGTGTATTGTTTTAGTCTGGGAAGTATTGCATGAATCATGAATTGCTCAATGCAAATGTCTTCTATCGACCATGTCACATGGTGCAATTGTATTTCGAAAGTAATAAGTTATTGAGATAATAAATTAGTTCACATAATGATTTATTTATTCATTGCAGCATATCTACTTGTTATTCACTTTTAGAAATAAGGCCCTATTGCTTAAGGCATTTGGGCATTTCTTTTAAAACCAATGTGTTTTGGGGGAAAGGGGGTGTTGTATGTGTATGCAAAGACGTTACTTTCCTTTCATGTTTGCCGCAGTTGCGTGTCCCTCTTTTCTATTGTTTTTGGTGTATGGTATGGTATGGTACGGTACGGTACAAGTGCCACAGTTTCTACTATTGTAAATGCAGTACTGTCATACAAGGGAGTCTTGTTAACACGGTAATAAATGCCTGAACTTTCATAGCATCAAAGTTTTTTTAAATGAAGTACATAAAAATGCATTGAGTACATAAAAGGTAATTATCACAAGAATACAAATTACGTGACTGATGATGCATGTAGAGATAGTGTTCAAAAGGGATGAAAATGTGTTGACCAACCTCGTAACAAATTAGTTCCCCTTTTTCAAAGTTTTTAAGTTGAGATGTACCATGTTTTCTGAAACCTAACACTATTATTCCAAATTCACTTTGAAGGGTCACTGCAATATATTTCGCAGTTTACAACTGTATTGCAGATGTTCAATCTGTGTTGCATAATTATTTTATTCAAAGTTTGAATAACCAAATAACATTTTATAGTTTTTATGAAAATTTCTTGCAGAACTAGTTCGTGATTGTGACTTAAAGTGGTATATGTAGTTAAATGTCTTTGTTAGTAATAAAATGTCTACATATTTTGGTTTGTTGTCAATTGTATGAATTTATCTCATTCTGATACAATAAACCTTCAAAATTTGCATTCAACTTTCTATTGTGTTCTTGACCATTTACTTTTGGTGTGGACAAGTAAAATATCTTGCATCAAAAACATGCGCGACATTTGACTTGTGTGTTGATTTATTTTCATGGTAAAGAACACTTGGACACAAAGAACGTTCTTATTAAAAGTAACCTTGTACAAATGTGCGTAATATTAACGGGTACAAAATCTGGAAACCTGGTAATGTAGTGTCGTGTACTGCAGAATTCATCGGCCACCTCTCATAACCATGTCAGTACTCTTGAAAGCATCAGTGATTCTTGTTGGCCAAAGTATCAATTCAGCCAAGTGAATGGAGGATGGTGCCTGGCTCTATCAAAAGAAGTGATGTAGTCAGTGGAGCGGTATCACCTTATTATTGCGTTCTGATCTAGTTGTCAAAATACTTTTCATACCACTGACGTTGATTTAGAAATTTGAACATCCCAGCCACTTTTCACTATAGTAGTCTTATTGTCTGCTAGTTTAGTGTATTCTATAGGACACATTGAGTTGACCCAGCTCTCTGACTCATCCAAAACATATCGTAACCAGTTTTTCGTACAATCACACTGTTTTGCTGTAGATTTGTATAGTTATTCTATAACTGGGATTTATATCAGTACATATGTATAGTATGTCACTGAAATAAACACAGATGAACAATAAATCAGTCTCACAAAATGCTCGTGTGTGTATGCGAGAAGGATACGCGAGTTCCCTGAATAACAATCATGTCTTTCACACTCCTAGTGGCTTGAACCTTATGTAAGCTAACAATGGGATATTCATTTAACATTAGAAATGGCTGAGATGAATGGCCCTGCCTTGAAACTGATAGGAAATTATGAATTTTAGTTTATATGCATAAGGTGGGTCGAAGATCAAAGATTAACCTAATAAACACAATTTTTGTCATCGTTGAATTAAACCAAGCGATTCATCATTGGTTTAACAATGTCAATCATATGAAGTCACTGAGAATATTATCAAAAGTAACTGTTTGACCCGGAGAAAAAAGTCTGGATATAGCGGAAAAAACAAAATGTTCACCTGTCATCCAATATGTATTGGCATGACCAACTATCAATGTAATTGAATGAGTAGTTTTCAAGGAAATAATAAAAACTTGCAAAAGGTAACAAAACATTCATTTTTGACAAAAATGGGGCGATAACAAGTTTTTGCATGGTTCACTTCATCGTCAACAGATGGCGTTGTGTAGTGGTGAGATAAGAAGCACTCATGTTGTTGTTGTAGGCATATTATAAATTTACCAGAAATGAGTAAATAAATATATCAGTAGAGAATTATAATATAAGTAGAGAATTGAAGATATCATCATGAAAAGATTAAATATAGGAGCCCCACAAAGTTACCGACATAATACGTATCATGATATCATCACAAAATGTAGAGACGTAACCAACGTACGTATACTAGTATACCAATTATTAATCCAGCTGAGGTTTTGGTTTTCAAGCATAAGGCAAAAATATAATTTCAGTTTTTTAGAAAAAAAACGTACACATAATTGTCTTGATAGTTTTCAAGAAGTTGTGATAGGGTCGCCCTTTGTTGATATCTTTCTCTTTCTCTCATAGTATTTGGTTAACTACTGTATACATATTTCTTAAAAAGATTACGATCAATAAATGCAATTAATTTTATCATTAAAACAGTATACTGTGTGTAAACTTTACAGAATTTGAAATACTGGCTTCATTGCAATCTGTTTACACGAGAAACTTATTTGTGATTTTCAGTCTGTATAGAACAAACCGTTTGAATTGACTCACCCACAAGCCATAACATCTATCTGGTGTACTAGTATTATACTAGTATTATCTGGTTACAAATAGGAATGTAACTATTATGTTACCAGATAATTACAATTTTACCAGAAAAATACAATCACTGATAGCAGATGAATATTTATTTGTCTTGAGTTTGTAGGCCTCGAGTGAGTTGATTGATTAGAGGCAGAGAAAGACGAACACGACGAGGAAGATCGCATTATTAAACATAATTATAATTGGTCTTTAAATCGTACAACGAAACAAATATATAATACAATAAACAAGTTATCGTATATATTCATTATTAATCATCATAGAATACTCAATTACATAAGTATTATTGAAATAACACCAATCAATTCTCAATTTAATTAGATATTTTTATTTCATTCTCTGTCTTTTAAAGTCCAAAACATTTGCTCATACAATACATAATATGCATTTGAAACATTAGATAGAAGTCAGTAAGTTAAGTTGCAACACATACAAAGCACAGAAATCGTCCCAGGAAAACATAATACATCCCTCCAAACATCAATAATTGTTCATTTTGTTATATACTATGTTATACGCTGGCTATGTCATACTCTTTGTTTCCATTGATTTTTCTTATTTCGCCATACCCATCATAAGATACAAGATGTACCTTATGACGTTGTTTTCTGAAAGAAAGAAAATTAGTATCATATATAATAGAAGCTATTTAACACAATTATATCAGTTTAATAATAGTTATACGACGGCATATTTCTTACAAGAATTTTCTTAATTATTGTGGGTAGAGACTGAGAATACAAAACGAAAGCATGCATTGGTCGATACAATCGCGTTAATTCGTGGTATCATTGTTTTTATTTACGTGAATATATTGTTTTTAGTAATAAGTGTGTAATGAATAGGATGAATATTTCAATGCAAGGACAAAGTATGTCGAGCATGATGCAGATGAATTACATCTAATATATGTCGTAATGCAGAAACACTTAAAATATGTAATACATTCTAATATACATTTAAATGCAAAGATATGTAGTGATATATTAATATACATACTTTCCAAACTCCTCCGCTTCTTCGAGTGTTTCTGGCAATTTCGTTCCCAAAGTTTCAGGCAAAGTTAAAATCAGAATACCTGCAAAGATTGATGTAACACCGAATACAATTGGTGGAAGTGGTTTCCAAACTGTACCCATAAGTATCAGTTGTGGGGCAAGTATACCACCAATGCGTGCAAACAGTGAGCACATGCCTACACCAGTAGATCTGTAAATACAGCAGACAAAGTATCGCATTATACACACTGACATGTACGATCGACCAACAACATAAAATAATCAAATTGTGACAAGTGTCGGCATATCACAGATCACACACAATGATCTGCTAAACCATTGGGGCAGCCAATTTGCAAACTGGCTAGCGAATTGGCTAACTGCTTGGGTTTCGACTAAACAGTTGGCTTTCAAATCTCGCTGGCGCCGACTCGTGGTCGCGTCTACTCTGGGCGAGTCTATATTGCATTAGGGAACATGCAATGCTTTCACGTAGCCTGGTACGTGGTCTGGATTCCCCTGAATGATTTGCTTTGCTAGGCGTGATAATGTGAAAGTAGTTTCCCTGGTCAGCCTGAGAATGGCCACAGTCAGCTGGCGTACAAGTGATAATATGATAAATGCGATTAATCCACCGATATTTACTATATGGACGGAGGTAGCCATCTTGAACACTAATTGAAACTAAATAAAGAGACAAGTTGAGAAACAGTTGCCTACAAATCAGAGAGAAAATAAATCTTCACATCCAAACGGTTCGTTGGGGTAACATTAAACCAACCGCTAATAAAATTCGACTTCATTCCTCGTTTTTGTATACTAACACCTCATCAAACCTCATTACACGATGGAAATAGAACACTTTGACGGGTATATTTGAAAGCGAAATCGCCATCCAACCACAGGGAGTTGGACAAACTTATGTATTTTAATAAATTACAAGCCACTTCGCGATGAGCGTCTTTTGCGGTCAGTAATATTTACGAACATTTTTGTTCATTATTGACAATCTGCTCCGCTAGGATTGCCCTTAAAATCAATTTTGTGTGTCTGTGTGTGTGATTTCCAGTGTTTTCACGTATTAATTCTTCTGTGATTTTTTGGCTTGACCTATTTCCCTCAAACTTGGCAGGCAGGTCACACCATCACCCTAGTTTAATATTAGGTAAATCTGGAAAAAAATGGCCCACCGTTACCATAGTAACAGCCAACAATTTTTTTTGGGTAGCTTTGTGCCAAATGTATCTCCTACAAATTTAGGATAAAACTCCTCAGACGTAGCTCATTCTACTCAGCTTGAGTGTGGGCGCAAAGTTACTATTTGAATTTTTGAATCGTTTTTCATTATCGATAAATTTGACTCTTCTGTGAGTTTTTTGGCTGGGCCGATTTGGTTCAAACTTGGCAGGCAAGTCACACCTTCACTCTAGTTTATAAGTTGTAAAATCTGTAAACAAATTCTGGCTCACCGTTTCCATGGCAACAGCAAAAAAAATGATTTTTTTTGACTACCTTCGCGCCAAATGTATCTCATCGTACAATTCTAGAATTACTCAGCCTGAGCGTGGGCATACATTTACTGGTTGTTTTATGTATTTTTTCATTACCGAGAAATTTGGTCTCAAAGTTGGGGTAACTTTTCACCAGCGGCTTTTAACTGCTATGTGTTTTTTTTTTTGGCTTGGCTGATTTTGTTCATACTTGACAGGCAGGTGGTACTGTCACTAATTGAAAAAAAAATCTCGCTGACCACTGCCATGGCAACAACCAACAACTGATTTTTTAATACTTTCGCCCCAAAATTATTACTTTCCACCAGTCTTGTAATAGCAGTGTTATACGGGGCCCGGTTTTAGTTATAAAATGACGTTAGCTTCACGTTCATGTCCTACCATGGCAACAGCCGAAAACATGATC